GTGATACCGCTTGACTTCTGAGGCTAAATCATAAAAAGTGATGCAACTTCCTCTTAGTTTTCTAGAACACTAGTTCTTGGAGCCTTGAGTCTGACTATCTGAGACCACCATGTTGTGAACACACCAATCCATGTACAGAGGCCGTGGGTAGGTAATGAGTCACCTGTCCTAGTCTTTGAGTCCTATTAGCACAGGAACCAGACCTGTGAGGGAGGGAGGCTTGAGATTATATTTGCTCCCAGCCATCGAGTAACCGTTGGCCTTTGCTTCTGTCCAGCTAAGGTCCGAGACATTGTGGATCAGAGACAAGCCACTTCTACTGTGTCCTTATTGAATACCTGGCCCACAGTATCCCTGGCCATAAAAAAATGATGAGGGATTAAGCAGTAAAGTCATTACACGTTTTGAAGGTAGTTAATTCTACAGTAAGTGACCAGACAAATGGTTCTAAATTCACTTGTATTGCTAGTGTCATAAGACAAAATTACAACAAATTTGGTTTAAAGATCTTAATTGTTCCCTGTGCTTTTGAGGTCTTAGCCATAAAATCTTTGCCTAGACCAATGTCCTGAAGCATTTCTCCTGTGTTTTCCTCTAGTAGTGTTATAGTTTCCGATCTTACATTTATGTCTTTAATCCATGTTGTGTTGATTTTTGTATATGATAAGAGATAGGATCCAATTTCATTCTTCTGGACAAGGATGTCCAGTTTTTCCAACACCATATATTGAAGAGAGTATTTTTTCCCCAGTGTATGTTCTTGGTACCTTTGTTGAAAATAGTTTGCTATAAATATGTGGATTTATTTCTGGGTTCTCTATTCTGTTTCAGTGGTCTATATGTCTTTTTACACCAAATAACATGCCATTTTGGTTATTATAGCTTCGTAGTATATTTTGAAGTCAGATTGTGTGACGCCTACCACTTTTTCTTTCTACTCAGTATTGCTTGGCTATTTGTGGTGTTTTGTAGTTCCATATAAACTTTAGGATTATTTTTCTATTTCTGTGAAGAATGTTATTGGTATTTTGATAGAGATTGAATCTGTAGATTACTTTGGGTAGTAGGGTCATTTTAACAATATTATTTCTTCCAATTCATGAGCATGGAATGTCTTTCTATTTGTGTCTTCTTCAGTTTCTTTCATGAGAAAGAATTTATTAAATTTGATTAAATTTATTCCTAGACAATTAATTTTTATAGCTATTATAAATGGGATTACTTTCTTGATTTCTTCTTCAGCAAGTTAATTATTGGTACATAGAAATGCTATTGATTTATGTATGTTGATTTTGTATTCTGCAACCTTATTAAATTCATTTATCAGTATAGCCATTATAGAAAACAATATGGAAGTTTTTCAAAAACATTAAAAACAGAAGTACCATATGATCCAGAAATCCCACAACTGGGTATTTATCCAAAGGAAAAAAATCATTATATCAAAGGGAGACTGTACTCCCATGTTTATTGCAGCACTATTCACAATAGCCAAGATATAGTATCAGTCTAAGTGTCCATCAACAGATGAATGGATAAAGTAAATGTGATACACACTTACACACACACACACACACACACACACACACAATGGAATACTATTAAGCCATAAGAAACAATGAAATTCTGTCATTTGCAGGAACATGTATGGAATTGAAGGGCATTTTGTTAAGTAAAATCAGCCAGGCACCGAAAGACAAACATTGCATATTCTTTCTCATATGTGGGAGCTAAAAAGATGGATCTCATGGAGGTAGAGAAAAGAATGGTAGCTACTAGAGGCTATGAAGGGTGTGTAGGATGAAGAGAGGTTGGTTAATAGGTACAAACATACAGTTAGATAGATGGAATAAGTACTAGTATTCAGCCTCACAGTAGGGTGACTATAGTTAACGAAAACATTGTATATTTCAAAATAACTAGAAGAGAAGATTTGAAATGTTCCTAGCTGAAAGAAAGGATACATGTTCAAGGTGATGGATATCCTAAATACCCTGATTTGATCATTACACATCCTATGGCTGTATCAAGATATCACACATACCCCATAAATATGTATAATTATTATGCATCAATAAAAACTTTCAAATATATATGAAAAAACATTAATTTGCTATATTTTTGATTCTATAATTGGGCAGCACTTTATTCCATACAATAGAATAAGTGTTCTGATGAGCCAAGAAGAGGAGGTTGGTTTTACAGACAGGAAAGGGCTGTGGAAAGCAGAAACAAACAAACAAAATAATGTGGATTGGTCATTTCAAAGTTTCCTTTCATGTAAAGGTTAAAGTAGAGGGGACTTTCTTGTCATGATGGCACTGGATCTAGGTCAGTGTTGGAGACGATGTCTGGGACTCAGGGCCTTCGCAGATCACAGAGGCTGGTCTTGCACAACCTCTAAAAGGCCAGACCAGGCCATGGTTCACCCAAGGGCATGAGCCCAGGGAAGCCCTAGGTCCTTTCCTGGCATCTCAGAGGGAACCATGTCTCACTGGCTCAGGCTAGACTTGCACATTAATCCACTGAGTTGACTTTGGATCTTACAGGCTCAAGGGATGGTCTTTGGGAGCAGGAAGCGATCAGGACCCTGGTCAGATTCATATATGTGCAACTGAACCCACTCAAAGAAATAAATGGAAAAATTATATTTTTTTGGTTATTTGCCTTAATGTCACACATTATCATTAGGCCAAAGGCTCTCTGAGGTATACGTATGCAAAGTGATTTTTTAGTATTTTTTTTAAAATTCTCTCTTTTTCTATAAATTTTAATGATGACTTGGGTATAAGACAAGATGATCTATTCTGCAGCACCAAAGGTAGGCAAAAGAAGAGATCAGAATCTGGTATGAGACTGAAAATCACTATGGCAACTAGCTTCAGTGGGGCAGCTGGGGTTGGTTCTGAAGAAAGTCTGCTCCATTTATATAGCAGGCAGGAGTCCATGGGGTTCCCATCAGTTAGCACTGGGAGAGGGCTTCAGAGGCAGCACAGGCTGCTGCTGGGCTGGTCTAGGGGACTGGGGAGGAGGGAAGATGCAAAGCAGAAGGGCCTCTAGACCTCAGATTGGGGGTCAGGGAAGACCTATCTTCCTAAATGTGCTGAGGAATAGTTAGGAGGCAGATCAGAACAGGACAAAAGAATAAGCACTATGGCAGAAGCTACTGTGGGTTTGGGGAAGGGGAGAGAGGATAAAGGGAGGAGAGATCTTCAGCTTGTGTGCCTACACTCTTTCTCAGAAGCCTAGGCCTGGGAGCTGGTTGGCAGCAAGAACACACAATAGGGAAAGCCCCATAATTGTCCTGGCTTCTGGCACTGGGAGAGTGACTTAGTTCTCATGGCGAGGAGCTCTCTGAGAGTATCACCTGGGCAGAAATGTAAGGAGCACACCTGGTTTTGGCCAGTCATTGCCATGTTTGCAATAACATGGCTGTGGGCCAATATCATTATGCAACTTTGTGACTTGGTCATTAAGCAATGAACAAGGTCCTATTTGAAAGCTAAGGTCAAGCTTATGAAGCAATGCCAGCTTGTAACATTGTCCAGGTTAATTTAACACAGACGAAACAGACATATCTTTACCATCCAGGAGTAAATTATCCCAGGCACAGGAAAAGATGAAGTAGGCATGTTTCTTTTGGTGTCTTCCATGTCTAGTTTCAGAGACCCCATTCAGTTCCCATCTCACTCTGTATCTCACCCCTAGCCTGTGCTGTATTCTCTCAGGCCCATGACCCTTCCTTTAGTCTTCCTCCATCCCTCCATCCCTCTCTCCTTCCTTCTTTCTTAAAATATATTTTTTGAAACAGTACTCATGATTTTATTTGTTTATGTTTTAATTTCAACTTTTATCATAGATTATAGGGTACACCTGCAAGTTTATTGCATGAGTAAATTGCATGATCCTGAGGCTTGGGATCCCAATGATCCCATCACCCAGGGCATAAGTATAGGACCCAAAAGGTGGCACTTCAGCCCATGACCCCGCTCCCTTCCTTCCCCATCTAGTGATCCCCAGTGCCTGTTGTTCCCATCTTCATTATTATGTGTCTTCAATGTTTAGCCTCCACTTACAAGTGATAACATGCAATATTTTGTTTTAGGTTCTTACATTAGGTCATTTATGGAGGTCATAATGCCCTCCAGCTCCACCCATGTTGCTGAAAGGACATGATTTCATTCTTTTTTATGGCTGCATAGTATTCCATGGTATATTTGTACCTCATTTTCTCTATCCAATCCACTGTTGATGGGCTCTTACGTCGATTCCATGTCCTTGCTATTGTGAATGGTCCTGCAATGAACATATGAGCACATGTGTCTTTAAGATAGAATGAATTATTTTCCTTTGGGTATATACTCAGTAGTGGTATTGCTGGGTCAAATGGTTGTTCTATTTTGAGTTCCTTGAGAAATCTCCAAACTGTTTTCCACAGTGGCTGAACTAGTTTGTGTTTCCACTAATAGTGTATAAGCTTTCCCTTTTCTCTGCAGCCTCACCAGCATCTATTATTTTCTGTCTTTTTAATAATAGCCATTCTGACTGGTGTGAGATGTTAGCTCATTGTGGTTTTGCTTTGCATTTCTCGAAATTATGGAATGCTGCATAAATTTACATGTCATCCTTATGAAGGGACTGTGCTAATATTCTCTGTATCATTTCAATTTTAGTACATGTGCTGCGGAAGCGAGCACTTGAATATTTTTTGAACACCCACTATGTGCCAAGGGTAGAGCAGAAAGTCTCTTCTCGCATGGATCTTGCATTCTAGTCATGCGAGACTTACTACAAACAAACATAGACCCATTGAACATATTAGGTGGTACAAGGTGCCACGAAGGAAAATGAAATAGGGGAAAGATATACTCAGCGTGGCCAGGAAAGACCAGTCTGACAGGATGCTCTCTGAGAAGAGCCTTGGAAGCCGTGAGGGGGAAGCCAGATGGGTAAGCGGGGGCAAACACAAGGGGGGCCCAAGGCCTCAGGTGGGAGCCATTCTCGAATCAGCAGGGAGGCCTGTGTGGCCACTGCTGAGTCAGACAGAGAGGAGGTTGGAAGAGATGAGGTCAGAGGGAACTGACAGTCAGGTGGTGTGCTAAGAGCTGGCTGTATCTGACTCAGCTTCAGGAATTTGTCTTCCCAGGGTCAATTTTTCTTAGTGGCTTCTTAATTACTGAAGAAACATCAGAACTAAAATTAATGAATCTGAAGTGTCCTTTCAAGTTTGGGGGAGAAATACTCGAACAAGGGGCCCCTCCCTTCAAACCCCACAGGTATGTGCTTTTGAAAGCTTTGCTTCCCTTTCTCCTCTCTAAAAGTGGTTTCCAGGCTGAGGAGCTGTGGGGGTGGCAGGAGAAGGGGGACTTCCTGCAGCAGGAACAGAAAACACCAGACTGTTCTCTGGCAATGAGCCGCCTCCCACCCAGCAGACGTCTCAGCGGGGGTGGTGAGGTAGGAGGTGGGTGACGTGCGGTATGTGGCCTGGCCCCGCTGCCCCTGCCCTCCTCATGACCGGCCTCAGCTTCTCATGGCTTAAAACCTGTTAGGAGTCAACCAGTTCTTTTTCCTGAAGCAAGGGCAAGCTCTGGGATTCTGTAAGCCTTGAAAAAAATGTGCTCACAGACTTGTAGTGATCTCATGGCTCTCACTTGCTTTTCGGGAACTCTTTCACTTTACATCTGTGGGGTTAAATCACCAACAAAAAACTTCAGCTAAGTTTGCATGTCGAAATAAATTACTGACCATTTTGTTTTTCTACTGAGAATGGGGAACCCAAGGGGCCAAGTGGCATTTTAAAAAGCATGCATTTGACCTGTGGAACAAGAGACAGCCTTTAGTTCCAAACAGGAAAGTCAGTGGCAGTATTTAGTCAAAAGAGGGATAGAGCTCATGCTTTCTTTTCTTCCTTCTTCTTTTTTAAAGGACCAAATTCTTGACTGAAAGTTCTATTTTCATGAGGAATGAAGGCCTTTGTATAAGGAACGATCAATCTCTCCCAGTATTTTTCTTCCTTACAAAAAAAAATCTAAGAACTTCTATTACTAAAAAACTACCTAAGAACTTCTGTTCTGTCTTTCTCCTTGTATGTGTTTGAGATACAAAAATTCACCCAAGAAACAGAAAGAGAAAATATCACATGAGCATCAGGAATAGATAAAAACGACTAAAACCAATAAAGCCAAACTTACTGAAGAGATTCTGCCTTGTGTTCCAGATGGGCATGTCCTTGGCCTCACTTGCCTGGTGATATATTTCTACCCCTGACATCTGCCTTTTCTAGTACACATAATTTCTGCATCATCCCTTGTATCCCTTACTTGAGTTTTTAAATCCCAGACTATTTACTGGATTTTCACCTTTCTCAGCTATCACCATCTCTGTAGAAATTTCTGACATCAACTCATTTCTGGTCACCAGTCATTGCTTCAGAGTTGGTCTTAATAATCACCCTCACCTCCCCAGGGTTACTCTTTTCAATACAGTGCCCAACAATATCCCGCTCTTACACATGCTGATCCTATTCCACCAAGATAATTATATCCCAGCCCAGCCAGCGGCTAGACAATATAGTATGGAATCCCTTGAAAATGAAAGTGCTTGTGCTAGACGTGAAGCATTAAAAATCAGGTGAAGATCCAGGATTTGTAATGCCCTTGATGACAGAATCATTTTGATTCCTTCTCATGGCTTACAGGAGGGAAGGACAAAGTGAGCCACCAGTCCCAACAGTAGATGCTTTTTGATGATGGTTTGTACTTCATCTTCCAGGGACCAAAAATCAGTTTTAATATTCCAGCTTCATTTTGAAGGCAGAAACAAAAATTTCTTCTGAGAATCCTAAGGGCAAAGAACCAACTGACTCTGTTTCTGTGTTACTTGATTTTCTTGCTGCCTTAACAGCCCCTTTACCATCCTCCTCTGCTTAGGCCATTTGTTAGAATTGTAGAGTGAGAGCTAAGCATGAGTATAAAAAAGAATCATGGAGGAGTACTTTTTATTCATTATTCACTGATTCAACAAATATTTATTGAACATCGACACTATGATTAATACTGGAAATATGAGTGTGCCAAAACAGACACAATCCTTAGTTTCATGACAGTTATAATTCAGTAGGGGTGTCATACCTGAATGAAAGAATCATGGAAATAAATGTGAAATTACAAATGTTATAGGGACTACAAATGAGAGGTACATTGTGCCAGTGTGAGTATAAGTGTGAGATTGACTGGCCAAGGAATTCAGGGAAGGCCTCCCCCAGAAAACGGCAATTAATTTCAGGTTTGGAGGAGGTGATGAGGAGACGAAGGAGCATTTAATGCAGATGGAATAGCACAGGCAAAGACCAGAGGCAGATATGCTCCCGGAAATCCAGAACAGATAGGACCAAGACAACAGAGAGGGACAGGAGACAGCAAGGAAAGCATGGTAACATGAGTCAGGTAGGGACCAGCCCATGTTAATGATTTTTGTTTTCATCCAAAAAGCAACGGACAACAATTGTAGACTTCTTTAAAACTGTGTGTGTGTGTGTGTGTGTATGTATGTATGTATGTAGAGAGAGAGACACAAATACAGAGAGAGAGAGAGAGAGAAAATGAATTAGATTTGCATTATTAGATTTGAATTTCAAAAATGTAATGCTGGCAATGATTTGGAGAATGGATTGTAGCAGGGCGAAATTAAATGTTCACAATAAATTTGGAGCTATTTCATAATGCAGGTGAGAGGTGGTGGGAGCTAAAAACTGGATAGTGGCAGAGAGAGATGGCAATGGAGAGAAGTGGAAGTATAAAATCAACACAATTTCAAGATGGAATGTATATGGGGGATGAGGAAGAGAGAAGTGTCAAGGTGCCTATATTTCAAACATGCATAATTGAAGTGATGGTGGTATAATTCACTGAAATTTATATCACTAGAAGAAGTTCCCTATTTCATTGCATGTGTATGTATGTGTGTGTGTGTGTGTGTTTGCACATGTAGGCAGGCCAGAGAAATCACAATATTGGTTCTGGACACAGTGAGATAGATGTGTTATTGAAACAAGTAGCAATTAGTCTGGAGTTAGTCAGAGAAGAGGTCTCAGCTGAATTTATATGGTTTTGAATCATGAGTGTATAGGTGGTGATTGAAGCATAGGGTGTAGATGAGACTGCCTAAAGAGAAAATATAGTGTGAGAAAAGATAAAATATAAGATTGAGCCATGAGGATCTCTGACATTTGGAAATCAAGTAGAGGATAATGAGTGTTAAATAAGATGGACAGAATTCCAAAGAAGTAGTAGCAAAACCCAGAGATCATTGTGTCACAGGAGCCAAGAGAAGGAAGTTTCAAGAATTTACAATAACCAGCACACAATCAGAAATTACTAGTTATGTGAAGTAGTAGCAAAATGTTACCTACAGCCAGGAAAAAAATTAACAAAAAATAGAAACAGACCCAGAGATGTTGGAATTAATAGACATAGACTTTAAAACAGCCATTATGCATATGTTTACAGGTTTAAATAAAAAGATAAAGATAATGAGTAAACAAATGAATATTCTCAGTAGAGAAATGAATATGATAATAATAATAAAATATCTAAAATAAAAAGTTCACTGGATGGGCTTAGCAGCAGAGTGGACACTGCAAAAGAAAGGATCAGTGAACCTGAAGACAGAATAGTAGAAACTATCCAAACTAAACCTAAGAGAAAAAAGGCTAGAGGTAGTCTCTGTTATCTGTGAAATGGTATTAAGCATTCAAATATTAATGTAATTAAAGTCCCCAGAAAAAGAGGAGAAAAAGATTTGAGATAAAAAAAGAAGAGAGATTGAGATAAAAAAGTTTCAAAAAACTGTGCAGTCAAAATTTTTTCCAAAATTGATGAAAAATATCAACATGCAAATCCAAGAAGTTCAGTGAACACCAGACACGAATGGAAAATGACGGCAGCTGCTTGACTTCAAATCTCCCCATGCAACTTACAAAACCCTTCAAATAAATAGAGTGAAAATAGAAAATAACATCATGGCTTTAGCATTACTAAGAATTGGAGAATACTACAAGCTGTAAATTATCAGCAAGTAGAAAAATGCACCATATTCTAACAGTTACCTTTTGCCTACTGCTTCAAGCCTATGGGTATGGAAAGTGGAGTAGGGAAGTATTAAAGAATGGTATCGGCCGGGCGCGGTGGCTCACGCCTGTAATCCCAGCACTTCCGAGGCAGGCGGATCACGAGGTCAGGAGATCGAGACCATCCTGGCTAACACAGTGAAACCCCGTCTCTACTAAAAATACAAAAAATTAGCTGGGTGTAGTGGTGCGCACCTGTAGTCCCAGCTACTTGGAGGCTGAGGCAGGAGAATGGCCTGAACCCGGGAGGCGGAGCTTGCAGTGAGCAGAGATCTGGCCACTGCACTCCAGCCTGGGCGACAAAGCGAGACTCCGTCTCAAAAAAAAAAAAAAAAAAAAAAAGAATGGTATCAAAAACAGTAGAGGGCATTAAGGACTTACATAAGGTATGCATACTCTCAAAAGAAAGCCCAACTAAGTTAAGAAAGGCTCTACACAATTTGGAACTTGGCAGTTCACACCACCAGCTGTAGGCAAAAGATCTGAAATGCGTGAGGCCCAGAAGTGGCAGCCCTGGAGAAGCACTGCTTTCTTAGGGAGAATGAGATACAGAGAAGTGGAGGTATTCCTTGGTGAAATAGCCGTGAAAGGAAAGAAAAAAGAAAAGATAAAATTAATGTTTCTAGGAAAAAAGACACAGTAGTCCCTTTCTTTTTCTTCCTAACTTCATCATCAACATCTTCCGTAAAAGAAACTTCACAGAAAAGGGCAGAACTCAAAGGAGATGCTGCTGTCACACGAGGAGCTCTCTCCACAGAATGAAGAGGTACAGAAAAACAGCAATCATATCCAAATAAAATTGTTGTAAAAAGTGAACCCAGGTAACTCAACTGAAGAAAATACTCCCTCACCTCAGGGGCGGGGCATGGTGGGGGGAACCATGAGCTGAGGAAAATTGTAACATAATACTCCCACAAAAATTAATTTTTCTCAGAATACAGTTTGGAGGTATATAAAAAGAATCCAAAATATAAAACTGAATCAGAAATATAAAACTCCGCAACACTAATGGATCAAGAAAGAAGAAAAGGAAGAAATGAAATGATAGTCATTGAACATAGGAAGAATATCAAAGAAAATGGCAAAATCATACCAGAAATGTAGACAAAATTATGAGACCCAAGGGAGAATAAATTTAAATGGAAATTTAATAAAAGGCATTGAAGAAAAGCAGGAAAACAAGAGAGCAAAAGGGAGGTAAAGAAAGAAATGAAAAAGGTCAGAGGAAAGTGATCGAAGTGGAAGACTGGCCAAGGACGTCCAACTGGAGTTCTTGGATGAGGAGAGCTAAACAATGGAATATAGCTATTATTTAAAATTATAATCCAAGAAAACTTTCTGGAAATAAATCAGGAATTGAATCTACAAGTGAAAGGGTTCTCTTGAAAAAGTTGACCTGGCATGATTATATCAGAGCCATATCCTAGTAGAACTGCCAAGCTTTAAAGAGAAAGAAAGGAATCCATATGGCCTTTTGGAGGAAACATAAAATAGCTTGAAAGGAGAAGAGGATTCGACTGACATTGGATTTCTCAACAACAACATACAAAGCAAGACGTGATTGAAGCGCACTGTGAGAAGCTTGAGAAAATGCAAGTCAAGAACTTTATATCTAGCCAAGCTGTTCTTCAAATATTAATGATATAGAAAAACAGTTTTGAAGATGCAAGAACACAAGAATACTGTGGCCACATGCCCTTCCTGACGAATCCACTGCAGAATTAACTGTACTTTATTCAACTAAGAGCTGACTGCAGACACTTCAGCAGGAGGATTGAAGGTGGGCATTTCATATATAGATCTAGGACTAATACAAGGTTGGAGATATGGATATAAGAATGGTAGTTAAGCATTCCATTTTCTAACAGAACAGAAATACTACAATTTTTAAAATGGGAGAAGTGGGTAAGAAAGAAGAAAGTAGAATAAGATCATTGCGTTTACACTATAAGTAATAGGGAGCCAAAAGATATCATTTAAAACTGACAGACCAGAGGGTAAAAGATTAAAAAACTTTTAAAAAGGTAATAAAGAGTCCTACGAAGGTAGCCATTAGAACAAAATTAAACATGTTCCTAAATATCAAAAGGAATTTTCTAAAAAGGAAAGACAGTACACAAAGAGCATTTTAAAAATAGGTTCAATGATTAAATTCTGCCAAAAAAAGAACTGGTTTTTCAGTTTATTTTATACAAAAAAAGAAAATTAAATGCAAGTGGTAAGCTGCTATGCACCAAGTGTTTAGCTTAGAAAAATAAAATACTCCTAGGAAACAATTTATCTTTTGTTCACAGGACAGTCAAATAGATGTAATAGCACATCAGTTCCAGATGAGTGCTTAAACAGAACGAAACCTAAGCATCCCAGCAGCAGCTACTTTGCACCAACCACTTACTATGTCTAGCTGCCTGCTGGTCACTTTATAGGAAGCCTTCACGGCAACGCTGAGGCATTATTTTTATGGATGAGCAAATTGAGACTTAGAGAAGTTAACAATTAGCAGGAGGTCACTTCATTATAAGTGGCAGAACCAAGCTTTAAGTATAAGTGTGTTGACACCAAGTCAATGTGTCTTTGCTACTTTGTGGCAGGACACTGTTTTCCTTCTGTATCTCTTTCTTTCATCAGGTTCTAGCCCAGAATACTGGCCATTTTTGAGTTATTCACCTCTGTTGGAATTTGTAAGCATTGAGCAAAATTGTGAATTTGCCTGTCGCTGACTCCAGGGAAGAGATAAGTCAATCAACTCTGAAGAATCAAGATTTCCAGAAGATCTAAAGCCCCCTTGCCTTCCTCTTTCTCAGCTACCCATCAAATAAGAGGCCCCGTTGGAGAACCAGAAGGGACATTCTCCAAGCTGTCTGAAATCCCGGTTGGTACTCCAGGCTTCAACAACTTCAGCACAATGAGAGACGGCAAAGAATATCCTGGCCTTTGACGACCCCCTGCCTTCTAACATACCGAGGTTAATCAGACCCAGGACAATTTGGAAGGGGCTCTTCTGCCACAACTTGGGGAGTGGAGGTAGGGAAGGCCATAGGAGCCCCAGCAGGTAGGCCACATAGCCTGAGTTATGGAATCTAACTCTGGTCTGTCTTCCAAATGTTTCTGGGGTGTCAGATCTGTGGCAGCCTGAGGGGCATATTCTGAAGCCATTTCCCTCCCAGAGATCTCTGACTTCTTTCAGCTTTTTGATGTTATTACACTAAGAGAATATGAACACCTCCTTACAGCCAATGCTGTAGTTATAAAACAGTTCACCAAAGGACCTATATTTCCTTGAAAACAAAAAGACAATGCAACAAGACAAAGCATTTAAAAAAGATCTTCAAAAGAGGCTTGATAATTGCATCATTTAAAGGACCTCAGGGAAGTCTCAATGCTACATAGGTCCTGGGACAAGGCACCTGAACTCCATGCCTTGGTGAACTGCATTTCTTTTAGCTTCTCTGCTTGGAATCATGATATCCCCAGTGTATGCTGAATTCTGAAGGCGGATTAGCATTTTTGGCTCTTCCCCGCTGGCATCACCCTATTTCCTTGGGGACCCCAGGCTCTCAGCTGTAGAAGACTCTCAGACAGACACACATTGCCCCAACATACTACCCCGCACACGTACTAAACTCTGAGGCTCCTGCGGAGTTGTGTGTTGTACTCCTCAGCTCCAGACCACTGTGTCCTGCCCTGGCCTCCACCCAGTCCTGATGGAGGCCCCAACATAGGTGCCTCAACCCACACAGGCCTCAGAGTTTGGCAAAGTGTCCCACGCACAATAGCTTTTGAGTCAGTAGTGCCTGCCCACCCCCCGCCCCCACCTTCCCCACCATCTGCAATGTCTTGGAGCCTACTAATGAACTAATTAATGTATCTTACATATTCTTGATATGGTAAATTCATGGGCTCAGGGAAGCCTATTTTGTATTTTTTCTAATTCGTGCTTCCCCTGGACAGTTTACCAATACCCTGCTGCAGGCATTTACACTTAATGTCATCAGGAGGCAGTGAATATAAATGTGCAATAAATGTCCAGCTGTCCTTGAGTTCTGCACAAGCAGTACTTTAAAAGTAAATAATGAGCTAAAAGAACAAACTTAGAGGGTAATTTCCGACCTCCTTCATGTCTCTAACACCATGAAGTTTCACTGTATTGGTTGCATCTTTTGGCATTGTTCATATACTACGTGCCTGGATTCTGTTTCTTGAACTTGTTGGGAAATGGAATCATATTGGGGATGGCTCTGAGTTCCTCATAACCATAGCATTAGTTTCAGAGTGTTCCCTATAGTAATAATAAAAAAGCTTCAAAACATGCTGAAAATGTTTTAGAACATGGTAGCTTCAAAGACATTCATTAAAAGGATAGGCTGGTCTGCATGCTGGCTATTTTACTGCTTTTCTAAACTTGGGTGAACCCCTGGAGAAGAAGCCCCAAACAGGGGGTAGTTCCAGCAGCCCAGGATGGAGTAAAGTGGACAAATTACAGGTCTTCTGGAGACAAGTGGTCAAGAGAGCATGGGTCACTGCTGAGCAGAGCTGGGATCAGGCAGGTTGAAGGAAAGGCACAAGAAAAGGACACCTCTCTGTCTGCCATAATGCCAAAGTCATGCTTCTGCTGCCTGGAACTTTCTGTCTGGCAGGAGAGGCTCATATTTCTTTTCTTTAAGACAGGATGATAATACACATTTGGTGATACAATTAAGAAACATGATATTGGAAAGTTGCTGACCAAGTGCCACCTAGCATTCTTTCTCCTGTATTAGCCACATGCCCATTCCTCATGGCTACTGCTAGCCACGTCCAAGAACCGGGGCCCCAGCCTGGCAGGGTAAGTGTGGCTCCATGCTTTAAGTCAGAGAATTTAGTAGACTATGATCTGTTACTGTGTCAATCTGAAAGCTGAGGGCTCTGAAGGGTACGTGGTACCCATTCTCTGACTCTCACTCCCAAAAGTCCTTTTCTCCCTGAGTCAACATATGGTTGGTTCCCAAGGCCCTTCCTAGGAATTGGAAGCCAACAGTGGCACAAAGCATTTAGGAGGCACACAACCACAAATGTGTGAGGTTTGCCTTCCCGTATTTTCTGGACCCATGTTCAAGCATGGAACTCTGTAGTTCATAAAGGGTTTTACTCTTGCAGGAGTCAGCAAACTATGGCCTGTGGGTGGAGGGCCAGATGGGGCCATGCTCATTCATTTACATACTGTCTAATGGTTGCTCAAAATCACAGAGTTGAGTAACTGCGACAGACTGGAAGGCCCACACGGGCAAAAAATGTACTATCCTGACCTTCACAGAAACAGTTTGCAGGCCCCTGATTTAGAGTAAGACCAGTTCTCCTGGGGGCAATGGATTGTCTTTGCTTTCAGCTTGACCAATGCCTCTGGGTAGGGATGGAGAGGGAGTCCATCTTTCTAGTTGATTCTGATGAGAAGAACCAGGGTGCTCCACCTGGAATGTGAGCCTCTGATCTTCCGGGCATCTGGCACGCCCATTTCTTCCACAGAGCAGGAATAGAAGCTCCTCCCAACAGGGGGTCTTGACTATTTGAGACCACTGTAAAAGAAAAGTAAGAACAAGTGATTCGTGTTTGTGTTTCCTGTAAAATGAACATGGTTATCAACACTATTAACCTGGTTTACCACTCACTTTGATGCAGATACAGCCGTGTTCATGTTTCACAGCTTCGTGAAACAGGCCTGCGCCTTCAATTGGAGGCAGTCCAAATGACAAAATTGCCAACCCTTTCTATCTGCAGTGGCCCAGGAATTATCAAATAACCTTAATTCCTATTAAACTCCTGCCTATTTACCATTACCTGAACTTTGAGGCAAAATCTAAATCCAAACCATCACAGGTAATCTCCAATCTCACATATTTTTCCAAAAGAATCATGTGTTAGGAAAGGATGATTGATAGCTCAAAAGTCACCAGTGCTGATTCCTGTGTTAGCAACCATAGCTGAGGTCAATGCTTAGAACTGGTGTGGGAAGATGTTCTCAAAACTGCAGCTTTGTGCCTTTGTGGTTATGTAACAGCCTCCTCCATACAGAGGATTACCACAAATTGGTGCTTCCTGCTGTTCTCTCATGTTGACGAGGCATTTTATATTCTGGAAGAATATTCTGGAGGGAGGAGGTTGGTGAAGATTGGTAAAGTGGAGAAGACAGACATTTTAACAAAATATTCGTATTTGGTCTCTAACATGAAATCTGCATATTTTGTGGTATATTAATTAAGTCATTTTTGTAAGTTATAAATGATACTAATACAGTAAGTCCTCACTTAATGTCATCAATAGGTTCTTGGAATCTGTAGCTTTAAGCAAAACAACATTCAGCAGGTTCATAAATAATGTCACTTCCTTTAACGTTTTGTTATAACATTAATGAGAAAAAAATGCTTTTGTTATATGTCATTTTGCTTAAAGTTATAGTTTCCAAGAACCTATCAATGCCATTAAGTGAGAACTTACTGTATAATAACATTATGTTAGAGTTTAGTGGGCTCCCAAAAGATTTTCTCTCACCAGGTAGACAGTTCTCTCTTTTAGAGATAAAATAATTGAACCTCACAGAGACTGTATAACCAGTCAGAGTCCCACCACGTTCCCACCTACCATTCACCACTAAATCCTTAGTCTGGCTGCAAAAAACAGAAAAGATTTATTTTCTCAAAAGTCAACTTTTTTAGACTACATTGATCCTAATAAGAGAATTCAGAAAGCAACTCTTAGACTCAACTTTTTCTGCTTATTGCCACCACCACACTCTCCCAGTCATATGACAAGAGTCATTTGCAGTAGGAAGCAAAACCAGAAACACACTTGAGCAGCCTTTTTGTGTCCTTCCTCACCTCGCTCCCATTGGGGGCCTGCATGATGGTGAGTGGCCACATAAACAGTCCCTGCGTCTGCAGGAGTCCTTTTCGCCATGGCTGCTGGAATGACTCATCCTTCTCTATCTGTAGCCTAGGCTTTCCCCTTCTTAATTTCCATGAGGGAGCAGTCTTAGATCAGAGCTTCCCCCAGGGGACAGGACCACGGTCCTCCCTAAAAGGTCCTGGATCTGGTATAAATCTAACCATGGGAGAAAACAGAATTCAGTTAGAGACAACATCAAGGGCAAACTTGAAGGGGAGCAAAAATCACAATATGGGTGTGGGAACCGGACCACAGAGTTACAGTGGTCATTTCTTCCCCACCACATCTTCTTTGTGAATTTTACCTTGCCCACTGCCCCAAGGGGCAACCATGTGGCTCATGGCCCTGGCCACCAATAATTGAACTGGGAGTAGACCCACTTTAGACATGACCCATTGTAACCAATACATCTTTATCTAGAACTTGGAGTTGGGACACAGAAAGCCTGAGGGCATTTGTTGTCTGTGAGTGCTAGACTCACAAGATTCTGTGAGCTCAAGGACTGAGTTACACAGTCATTTAAGGTCATGTGCTAAGAGTATGCTTGACTGGGGGGAGAGGATGGAGCAGACACAAAGATAACTGAGAGAAAGGGAGGAGGGAGGAAGAACAGCTCCAGACTCTAGCCCTTCAGTGATCCAGGTGCAATTCTTCAAACTGGGTTTCATAGTATTCCCTTATCACTGTGCAAGTAATTCCCATTTACTCAAGTTATTCTGAGTGGGTGTCTGGCCCTAGCAACTGAATGCTCCCTGACCATAAGATGAAATGGCTAGGGTGGAGCTGGGAGGCAGAGGCAGTGAGTGAGGGAGCTAGAAGGATTTTTCCAGAGAAAGTAAATCTTAGAGTCCAAGCATGTGTATGCTATCCACACATTCCAAATTTTAGGAGACAGCCCTGTTTCAAATGTGCCAGCTTGCCCAAATTTCTGTTTAGGCAATTGTGGTATATCTGTTTACATATATAATTTTAGCATTGGGAAGGCCCTCCTAAGTAAGACACAAACCTGGAAACCATAAAGACAAGACAAGATTGACAGATTAGACTACCTAGCCCTGAATTTTTAAATTGCCTTTGACAAAAGCCACTGTGAGCAAAATTAAAAGTGAAGAGGCAGCTTGGGATCTAAGTGACAGCTGTAGACCCCCTGCACACTACAGACTCCCTCCTGTTGCATACCAGACCTCTGTACAGGTCCAGCCCTGGCTTTGTGGCTGTCACGACTACTGAATATGTCGAAACTGTTGGCAGCAAGAACATGACCTCTTGCTGTCCCAGAATGAGGAAATGAAAGGGAAAAAAGAGGAAATGGGATGAAATGAAAAATGGATGAGAACAACATAGAGGGAGCAAGAAACATTGAGAAAGATGAAAAAAATGAGCTGCTTATCTCTCCTGTGGTTCTGGGCCCTCTCCTTTGTGCTACCCTAGTGATGTGCTCTATTAGTCCATTCTTACATTGCCATAAAGAACTACCTGAAACTGGGTAATTTATAAAGAAAAGATGTTTAATCAGCTCATGGTTCCTGTGGGCTATATAGGCTTCTGCTTCTGGGGGAGGCTTCAGGAAACTTACAATCATGGCAGAAGGTGAAGGGGAAATAGGCCATGACCAGCAAGAGAGGGGGCAAAGGAGATGCTACACACTTTCAAACAACCAGATTTCCTGAGTACTCCATCATGAGACAGCACTGGGGGAGTGGTGCTAAACCATTAGAAACCACCCCTATGATCCAGTCACCTCCCTCCAAACCCCCACTCCAACACTCGGGATCACAACGCAACATGAGATTTGGGTAGGGACACAGAGCCCAACCATACCATTCCACCCTTGGCCCTTCCCAAATCTCATATCCTCTCACATTGTAAAATGCAATCATCACTTCTCAATGGTCCCCCTCATTCCAGAATTAACTCAAAAGTCCAAGTCCAAAGTCTCATCTGAGACAAGGCAAGTCTCTTCCACCTATGAGCCTGTAAAATCAAAAACAAAAGTTAGCTACTTCCAAGATACAATGGGGGTACAGCCATTAGGTAAATACTCCCTTTCCAGAAAGGAGAACTCAGACACAACAAAGAGGCTACAGGTCCCATGCAAGTCCGAAACCCAGCAGGGCAGTCATTAAATCTTAAAGCTCCAAAATAATCTTCTTTGACTCTGTGTCTCACATCCAGGCCACACATCCATGCAAGGAGTGAGCTCCCAAGGCCTTGGGCAGCTCTGCTTCTGTGGCTCTGCAGGGTACATCCTCTGTGGCTCCTTTCATGGACTGATGTTGAGTGCCTGTGGCTTTTCCAGGTGCATGGTGCAAGCTGTCAGTGGATCTACCATTCTGGGGTCTGGAGGATGATGACCTTCTTCTCACAGCTCCACTAGGCAGTGCCCCAGTGGGAACTCTGTGTGGGGGCTCCAACCCCACATTTTCCCTTTGCACTGCCCTATTAGAGATTCTTCATGAATGGTCTGCACCTGCAGGAGACCCCTGCCTGGACATCCAGGCCTTTCTATACATCGCCTGAAACCTAGGTGGAGGTTCCCAAGTCTCAACTCTTACCCTCTTTGTACTTGCAGGCTTAACAGCATATGGAAGCCACCAAGGCTTGTGGCTTGTACCCTCTGGAGCAGAAGTCTGAGAAGTATCTGGGGCCCTTTTAGCCACAGCTGGAGCTGGAACAGGTGGGATGCAGGGCACCATGTCCCAAGGCTGCACAAAGCAACAGAGCCCTGGGCCTGGCCCCATGAAACCATTTTTCCCTCCTAGGCCTCCAGGCCTGTGATGGGAGGGGCTGCCCCAAAGATCTCTGAAATGCCTCATAGGCATTTTCCCCATTGTCTTGACTGATGTATTTGGCTCCTCTTTACTTATGTATCAGGCTTTAATTTCTCCCCAGAAAAATGAGTTTTTCTTTTCTACCATATGACCAGGCTGCAAATTTTCCAATCTTTTATGCTCTGCCTCCCTTTTCAATATATAAGTTCCAGTTTCAGGTCATTTCTCTGTTTATGCAGATGAGTTAGGCTTTTGGAAGCATCCAGGCCAGATCTTGAACACTTTGATGCTTAGAAATTTCTTCTGCCAGATACCCTAAATCATTTCTCTCAAGGTCAAAGTTGAACAGATCCCTAGAGCAGGAGCACAGTGCCACCAATCTCTTCGCTAAACCATAGCAAGAGTGACCTTTCCTCTAGTTCCCAATAAGTTCCTCATCTCTATCTGAGACCTCATCAACCTGGCCATCTCTGCCCATATCACTTGAGCATTTTGGTCAAAACCATTAAACAAGTCTCTAGGAAGTTCCAAGCATTTTCTCATCTTCCTGTCTTCTTCTGAGCTTTCCAAACTATTCCACCCTTTGCCCATTATCCAATTCCAAAGCTGCTTCCACATTTTCAGGTATCTTTGTAGCAAGGCCTCACTTCTCTGGTACCAATTTTCTTCATTAGTCTGTTCTTGCATTGCTATAAAGAACTACCTGAGACTGGGTAAGTTATAAAGAAAGATGTTTAATCAGCTCACAGTTCTGTGGGCTGTAAAGACTTCTACTTTTAGGGAGGCCTCAGGAAACTTACAATCAAGGCAGAAGTTGTAAAGGAGAAACAGGCACACCTTCACATGGCCAGCAGGAGAAAGGCGGGGGAAGTGTTACATGTTTTCAAACAACCAGATTGCCTGAGAACTCTATCATGAGGCAGCACTATGGGGATGGTGCTAAACCATTAGAAATCATCCTCATGATCCAATCACCTCCCACCAAGTCCCACGTCCAACACTTGAGATTACAGTTTAACACGAGATTTGGGTGGGGACACAGAGCCAAACCTATCATGCACCAACTCAAAATTAAACTGTTGTCATCTTAGTCATGGGCTCACTGTAGAATGGGAGTGGTAGGAAGAAACATTAAGTGAGTGGTCATAATGGTGGCTTAGAATTCAAACCCAATCCATGTGACCCCACAGCCATGCTTGGGCAAATTAAATCCATGATTATCCAAAGGGTTTCAAAATCGATTTTTTTAGATCTAACTGCTTCCTTCCTATTCTTATCATTTCCTCTTCCCTCAAAGAAAATTCCCTTTATTCTTACCACCCACTAGAATGGAGACTTGAAATTAGGTTCTTTTAGCTTGCCAAATGATAAACAGCTCTCTCAAATTAAGCCACATCTCATCCAGAGAGAAGGCAATAAAAATAGTGATTTATGTGGTCAAGAGTACAGTGAGACGTTTTTATAGCATCACAGATGGTTTTCCAAATTGCAGAGCAGCTTTATTTCTTTCTGCATATCTCAATTTCTCAGTCCACAGTTTGAAAATAATAAAGCTGCCCTCTTCCTACTTCTCGGGTGAATTGGTTAAATCATGAAAGTCTATAAATAAAAGCACTTGAATCCTAGAAAGAAGAGTCAAATGATAAAATAATCCCATTTTTCATCCATATGATGACATTTCATCCATATAATGAGAAGGCTAGGCATATTGCAATGTTTGTGGGGAAATGATCTGGCCCAGAGAACACCTGACTCCTTGGAGTGTCAAGCTGGGGAAGAGAACTCAAGTATATGCAGAGTACCGTTATTTCAGATATATGTTTGATAGCTCTGAAGTAACTACTGGAAGCACCTATGGGGTGGTATGATAAGGTAACTGAGATTTACATTTATACTTTACTCCTCCTATTGGTTTTAAAAACAAAACTGCTTGAGTTTGGTTTTCATCACGCTGGCTTCAGTCTTAGCCCAGGCTCTTCACATACTTTCTGTTCCAACTTCCACCCTAGGTGTACACGACATGCATTCTCAGCACCTCTGGGCCCTTCCCTTCTACCCAAGCCAGGAGTGCTGAGTGCTAAGATTTGACAATCCAGATCAGAAGCAGCACGATGCAGTGTTAAGAACACAGGCCCTGGAACAAGTCTGCTGCGTGTGAATCCCAACTCGCCTCTCTGACCTGGCATATCTCCTCATCTGTGACATGAGCATGGCACTAACATGCCTACTCATAGGGCTCTGGGGACAGTTAAATGAGGCAGGGTCCATAAAGCACTTAGCTCACTGCCTGGTACAATGAATGGCAACTACTTTTCATAGGCAATTATGAGAAATATGGTGAAGGTAGGCAGGGTAAAATGGTTGGATTGGTGCTTCTTCTGCAGGTGGCATTCAACTTTTGTTGTGTATTTGTTTGTATTTATTTTTCTTATAGCAAATTTCCTCTTCTAAACTGTGACCAAACAAATAGAATGATTGCTATGGTTTTACAATTTGCATGGCTGAATGAATATACCTTTGGTAGTTTTTTAGATCATGTTTCTAATTGTTAGAAAAAAAATTCTTTTTTTATCTTCTGGGATTTCAAGGGATATCTTCTGGGATATTAGCTTCTGGAAAATAGGTATTAAATTGATATGGGACAGAGGCCATCGCATATATCCTACAAAATCTGTATTTACACACTTATATTATACTTACTTGCCTGTATCTTTGAACTTGGGACCGATCATAAGATCCTACATTCTAGAGTTCCCAGAAGAAGAACATAGTAATTGAGTATGTATTGAATATTGTTCGCTGGGTGTGGTGGCTCACGCCTGTAATCCAAGCCCTTTGGGAGGCTGAGGTGGGTGGACTACTTGAGGTCAGAAGTTTGAGACCAGCCTGACTAACATGGTAAAACCCTGTCTCTATTAAAAATTCAAAAAAAATTAGCCAGGAGTGTTGGCGTGTGCCTGTAATCCCAGTTCCACAGGAGGCTGAAGCAGGAGAATTGCTTGAACCTGGGAGGTAGAGATTTCAGTGAGCTGAGATCGCACCACTGCACTCCAGCCTGGGCAACAGAGCAAAACTCTGTCTAAAAAAAAAAAAAAATTTATGGGTGAGTGTTGAGCTAAGTGCATTATCTCATTCAATCCTCAATCTTATGAAGCAAATACTGTCATTAGCCCTATTTTACAGATGTGGAAACTGAGCCTTACAGAAGTAAGTAATTGCCATAAGTCACACATCTAGGAAATAATGAAATGAAAATTTGAACCAAAAGCATCTGGATCCAGTGCCCACGTTTTAGGAACTTGCTGTGGCTTTGATGCATCAGAATGTGGGAGCTGCAGGCCTGCGTAGACTAGTCTTGGACTCTTAGCTGCCCTGCCATCCCACAACAGCTGATAGGTTCATATGAAGCCACCGGCAACTGCTGCCAAGTTACCAGTAAGAAAATCAGACACCTTGATCTATCTATCAATTGGAATGTGCATGTCCAGAATAGATCTAAGTATTTTTTAAAAAGCATTCAATGCCTGATTTTTAAACAAACTTCACATGCAAAGAAAATGCCCATGCATTTCTTGAAGCAGAAATATAAGTTAGTGAATTTGTTTCTTCTTGACAAAATGGTTAGAATTTGTTAGAAATTCCTTTTATCATAAAGTAAAAATTATCAGCTTTAACCTTCTCATTTGTCTCCTACTGCTTCTTTTCTTGTTCTTTATTCTCATCCATCCCCTTCTCTGTCTTTGCCTCTTCTCTTCCTCTATTACTTCATAAGAATCTAAGCAACTCCTTTAAATCTCAAATCAAATGTTCTTCCCTTGGATAGAGATCACTTCCATCCCCTTCATAACTAGCTGGGCCTGGTACCTTTTGGTTAGCAATTTTGCCAGAGATGTTGGAGAAAAAGATGGCATTTCCTCTTGAAAATCCAGCCTGCAAGGCATTTACCATCTCATGCTGGTTTCATAAGGCCCTGCTGTCCCTCCAGAATAGAGGCCCACAGCACTCGCTAGGTACCAGGCATGGTGAACTTGCTTGCCCAAGCTCTCTAGTAGGTGGCAGATTTACCCAGGTCTGCCTGACTTTAGAGCCTATTCTTTTAATCATTATACCTTACTGTCTTTATAGACAAGGTCAGGTTCTCTATGCTTCTGTGAGATAACTTTCCATAGGAATGTACATAGTTACTGTAGAGACACTAGGTGCCACCTGCTATAGCCCTCAGAAGTGGCATCAGACTGTGCCTGGGCTTTCTGTTTTTAGGACAAGGAAGAATGAGTGTGACAGTGAAAGGTTCTATTTGTAAAGGATGGAAAAGCAGAAATCCCCAAATGCTAGATAAAAGAATGTGGACAAGTGTATTGTATCCAATCATAGTATGTTAGAGCTGAGTTGGGCCTTAAAGATGATCTCCTCTAATCCCTTTATTTGCAGTTGAAGAAGTTGAGGATCTGAGACATTAAGTGAATTGTCTGAGGACACACAGCCAGTTTGTTAGATGCAGAGCCAAGAATGAAGTTTTTTCATTCAGAACAAGCTATTTTTTGCAGTCTACCTTCACTCTACTTGGGGTTCATTTCTTTTTAAGAAGTCTCAAAGATTAGAAAATTGAATCGTTTTGAGCAATATAATGTCACAGTGTACAATTCTGCTGAAAGTAATTATAATAGCAATGCCAGCAGATCTCCTAAATCCATGGGTTCCAAAATGTTCCCGCCTTTTGCTAAGCTAATATATAGAATTTCAAAACCATATTTATACCACATAAAATTTCCAAAAAGCTGGGCAATTTCCTATAAAAACTCAGTTGTGCAGTGATTGCCAAGTTGGAAAACTCAGGGTTTCCTGGCAACACCCACTTGGGCTCTAGGGAATGCAAACTTCTCAGCAAACAACTTCTTCTGACTTACCAGCTCCATCAGCAGCCATGACCTGAGTCACAGTGGCCCTTTCTGATATTCTTGTCTCTGTTGCTTATGTTTCTCAAGAACCTATAATCTTGCCTTAATCCCTTACCAGCCGAATACCTCCTACATGCTAAACTCCTGGAACGAAAGGTCCACATTTCTCTCATGCTAAGAGTTTGGGACTAGAATTCAGATGAACTCATTTCTGGTACTGGTTCAAAAGCAAATGAGCCCTGTAAATTCCCAGGTCATTAGTTACCTCATGGGTAAAATATAGACAATAACTCCTACCTGTTCATCTTTCAGGGCTGTTCTGAAGATTTTCAACATCTGAAATTCACAAGATCATGGAGATGAACTAAACCATCATGGAGATGCAACATAAACCAGATGCATCTAGCCCCTCATGTTAGAGTTGAGAAAACAGAAACCCAGGGCTTGAGGACTCCCTTGAAATCATCAAGGTCCTGGTTGATGACAAAATCAGGACCAAGTTTCTGATCCTCCCAAATATTCCTTCACTCCTCAGTGCTGCCTGTGATGAGAAAGATCAAAGCATGCATGCAATTGTAAATCATGCCACAGAGGCAACATGCAATTATTTAAGTACTAATTAATAGACTGTGTACCAAGTCAGCACTAATCAAATTTTTCATGCCTTGACAGGGTTGTAGCTTGTCAGGAATTTCTGAAGATGAAAAAACTATTTGTCTCAGGACAAATCCTTCTCCTTCCAGTAAATACAAGGAAAGGAGAAAGTGTAACCAGGGGTATTTAAGCTCAGCCTCCTCCAGCAGCCATCTGCTGTTGCTTTTTTTTTTTTTTTTAATGTTACTGAGATGTAATTTATGTACCATAAAATTCACCATGTTAAGGTGTGCAGTAGTATATTCACAAGGTTGTATAACCATCACTACCCTCTACTTCTAGAACAGTCTCATCATCCTGTTGCTTTTTGAACGTCAGTATTGTCAGCTCAAGTACAGCTTCACTCACATGTGGCTCTCAGTTCGGGTATATTCTGTGCTATCCCTCGTGTAGTGTTCATCTTGACCTACATGATCAGATGTCCCAAGTTCACTCTGTATTTGAAGAGCTCTGTGTCTACTAAAGGTCTGATTCCCTACTGTGGGCCAGCAGTAGGAATGAGATGGTCACTAAGCCTCAAAATAAGCCTTAGCAATGAGAATCTAAAAAGCAAAGCTCAGCCACCAAGGCTAATTTGCAGGGCAAAAAGAGGAGAAAATTTCGTAAGCCAAGAGTGGGTAGAACTGAAAGTGGGAAGTGGGGCTGGTTTAAGGACTGTGGAGGGTTTTCCAAAATGCACTCTCTCCTGCCTTAGAGCTCATATGCATGCTGGATCATCCTCCACCCCATCACATCCCCCATTTTCGCTTCATCTAAGTCCCCTGGGATGCTGGAGCACCCACTGCAGGAGGCACTTGAACTTCCCTATCACAGTCCATCTCACCTGTGCACACCATGATTACCTGCTGACTTGTCTGCATTCCTGAATAGACTGGAAGCTTCAAAAAGGAAGAAGCCCTGCCTTTTTGGTTACTTATTCACCCTGCTTCTCAGCATCCTCTGGCACTATCTCAGTAAAGACTTCTTGAACAAGTTATTAATCTGGCCACAAACCCAAATTTCTTTCTATATCCCTCTAATGCTCAAATTAAAGTTTGAGTGTGAGAATGTACCCGAGCCTCACACAGTTATTTATGGTGGATACACAAAATAATAACAATCCTGCGTCAAAGCTGCTTTCCTGTAGCTTTCACTAAATAGTCCTCATTCTGATCCAAAGACCAAGAGAGAATACATCCTTTACCTCTTCTCTGTGGTACCCCTTGAGGTATGTGACATGAGCTGTCATGTCCTCTATACCTTTTATTATTTGAGTTAACCAACTGTACTTCCTTCAACAATTAGGCATAACATATGAATTATTTACTCATTCATTCAACAAATATCTTATGGCATGGTCTACGTATAAAGCACTGTGCCAGGGCAGTGGGGGTGAGCAAAGGCATGGCACAGATGCTGCCTTAAAGAAGTCTACGGTCCACCGTGGTTGTGCTCTTCCCACTCTCAGGCGTTTCTTGAATGTCCCTTTTCAGATGTGGTCTCCAGAAGTGGACAATATATTTCCAAGTAGTCTGACCAATACAGAGTTCAGAACTATAACTCATGATCTAGGTCCTCGGCTTCCAAAAACTTTTGACTGTTCGTGTTATCCTTAGATAAATGCTCAGGGTGTACTAATGGGGTGTGTGTGTGTGTGTGTGTGTGTGTGTGTGTGTAATGTAAAAAGACACTTGGCTAACATTTTTGTAAGATGCTTGTTCCTTATGCTTAAAACAAATACGTGGTAGTATTTCTGGTGATCAAATTTCAAGTGAAACACATCCTTATCTCAAGTCCCTCTCCTGCTCTGAAAATCTCTTAGGAATAAGCGGATTGCAATGTTCTTCATATCAAACTGAACTCATAAGAATGGACAAATTCTTTTAAAAAACAACACAGGATATTTTGCACTGCCACTAATGGTTCTTTATGATGTTTCTGAAAATAATTGGAAGGGAAGCATGGACATCTGGCATGTGAATGAAGCTGTTTCTAATTAGGAGGGCTGTTTGTCTTCAAAGCAGAGTGAGCACTGGGGTACTCTTGGATGTGCTCTTCTTTGATGATGCTTGCTCAGGGCCTGGCAGCCTCCAACCTTCACCTATTTGAAGCCTGGGGTCCGTGGGTAGGGGGTAGGCCACCTCCTTTTAGCTTCTGACCTAAATAACTTTGGTCCTTAAATTCCTTCAGGCATTGGGCTTTTAACTTTGGTGTTTGCTTTGAAGCTGAAAAATGTGATTTTTTTTTTTTTGTCATGCTGTTTCCTGGGTACTTTCCGTCTGTGCAGGAGACAGTATCACCAGGAGCCAGAAGGTCAGCAGAAGAGAAAGTGCCTCTCATCTGTGACAACTGGGATAAATGTGGGAGAACTCTGTCAGACTTGGGTGGTCAGGAGACCCAGGAACAATTCCAGGAAAAGCGGAGTGCCTGAGAGTCATTCTGTTTTCTACTCCTTTTTTTTTTTTTTTTTTTTTTTTTTTTTTGAGACAGAGTTTTGCTTTTGTCGCCCAGGCTAGAGTGCAGTGGCACAGTCTTGGCTCACTGAAACCTCCAACTCCCAGGTTCAAGCAATTCTGCCTCACCCTCCTAAGCAGCTGGGATTACGTGCCTGCCACCGTGCCCAGCTAATTTTTGTAGTTTCAGTAGAGACGGGGTTTCACCATGTTGTCCAAGCTGGTCTCGAACTCCTGACTTCAGGTGATCCACCCACCTTGGCCTCCCAAAATGTTGGGATTACAGGCACGAGCCACAGCCTTGTTTTCTACTCCTAATATAATTTGTAGAAGGCATTGTGCTGAGGACACACTGGTCATTTCACTGTTTAATATTTTCTAGTAACTTTTCTTCACATAACATCTTTTTTTTTTTTTTTTTTTTTGACAGAATCTCGCTCTGTCGCCCAGGCTGGAGTGCAGTGGTGCGATCTTGGCTCACTGCAAGCTCCACCTCCTGGGTTCACGCCATTCTCCTGCCTCAGCCTCCCGAGTAGCTGGGACTACAGGCACCCGCCACCATGCCCAGCTAATTTTTTTTGTATTTTTAGTAGAGATGGGGTTTCACCATGTTAGCCAGGATAGTCTCGATCTCCTGACCTCGGGATCCGCCCGCCTCGGCCTCCCAAAGTGCTGGGATTACAGACGCGAGTCACTGCGCCCGGCCAACATCTCTTTATTTAGCCAATATTTATTAGGCACCGAATACGTGCCAGGGACTTTAAACTTTAGAAAGAGCTATTCTCATAAGTGTCTTAAAAAGCATCTGTAGTTTCCTGTTCTCTACATGGTTCCCAACACACACACTGTGGCCCACTGACATTGCCCTGGATACACTGACCCCTCTTTGAGGGCAGTTGAGGTCAGGAACTTTAGAAAGCTCCGAGTGTTGTTTCTTATCCAAGGAATTCGCAGGCGTGGAAGACAGGCCTTGAGGAGGCTTTTCCCATCAGCTCGCCACTGTATTTCTGGAAATTCCATATGGAACCCCGTGGTACCTATAGCTATTTCTGAAAATCAGTGTTCTTAGTGAAAATAGAATTAATTTAAAAAAATGGTTACCCAGACATTTTTTCTGATTGCAATGTTCTCACCAACGATATTCTTTGTTATATTTTCTCAACCAAAGAAATCTGGAAAAAAGAAGCAAAACTAAGGGATTAAAATCATCTACAATTCCATCACGCAGAGAAAACTACAGGTAAAATGTTGCTGTATACATACATCTCTTAATCTTTCTAGATCTGTTTTTGTTTTTATAGCCTACTTTTTATGTAAAAATATATTATGAACATTTTTCCAGGCCATTGCCTTTTCTTCTATGGTATAATTGTAATGGCTGCATAGTATTTCATTGTATGTATGTACCATCATTGATTTCACTAATTGCATATTATTAGACTTTCAGGTTGTTCCCTTTTTTTTCCCACAAAAATATACTGGGGTAAAAATTATTGTTTCTAACTCTTTATCCCCATTCATTATTTCCTTACAATAATTCCCAGAAGTAGACTTTTCTGGGTAAAAAGATAAGCCAAAATTTAAACCTTTTGATATGTACATAGAGAAGCCTCGGGTTTTGAGTAGAAAGGTCTTTGTCCCTAGCACTAACTGTGTGACCTTGGGCCTAACTACTCCATCTGTTAAATGAGGAGCGTGGTCATACGCCCCGCTGCATTTCAACAGCTGATTCTGACAATGTACTGCTGACTGTCTGCCCAGCAGCCATTCTTCACTTCATTCCAATAAACCCTGATTTTTTTTTCAAACATTCACTCCTTTCCCATTGCAGTCTTTGTACTTCCAGATTAGGCCTAAATTGTCTAAGTATAATCTCATTCCCCTGCTCCAGTGAGAGGTTCAGGAATAGGCATATGGACCAATTAGGTTTAATAAGATTTATGGGGAAGTTTGCTGGGGCTTCTGGAAAATTCTCCACCTTTAAGCCATAGGAAAAGAGTCTCTCCCTCTGGATGTTGTCAAGCTTGGCCCTATTATTGCAACAGCCATGTTATCCCCAGTCTGAGAATTAAACTGAACACAGATGAGGCAGAGCTGAGAATCCTAAGGAAATGGGATTGGAACTGCTGAATCAGGCAAACTTGAAGCTTGCCCTGCCTCTAAATTTCCAGTTATGAGACCCAATTTTGATGGCATTCACTCTTGGAATCAGTTAACTTTAATTTATAACCCCAGTTCTGATCATCATCTGTTTAATTTTCTTTCTTAATTATAGTAAATGTTTTTTTCTCTTATAGACTTTCCTTCCAACTTCTTGTATCCTTCTCTTCCCCAATTTTGAAAAAAAAAAAAAATGATGCCTCAAGGTAATATTTGAGTGAAAAGGATAGGACTTATGCCAACAGTTCAGAAATGACTAATTTAAATCTGTGGAACTAAGAGAGCCCAACCCACGCCTTCCAATTTGGTCACAGAATCAGAAGATTTTTCAAGTCGGAAGGAACCTTGATGCTCAACAAGTCCTAATCTCATTTTGTAGATGAGGAAACTGAGGTTCAGAAAGATATTATGAAAGTGTCAGACAGCTGGGTACTCCCTAGGCAGCACCTTCACAAGACTTACCTGGTACCCCAGTTTGACTCCTGCCAAATTTCAGTGGGGGCGGGGGGGGGGGGATTTAAACCAAAATATATCCCACAACTGGTTATTTGAACCCTTTGTTTCCTGGCAAATCAAAGTTCCCCATTTGTAGCAAGAACTCAACGAGTAATGTTCCTGTCACCACGTTGGAAGTCCGGTCTTCTTTTAGACCTCACTAGTGATTTCTTTCTAGAAGTCCCTAGGGAGAGTTCTCACAAATAATCCAGAGTTCTCTCTGCAGTGCCTCTGCTCTTGGTCTACACCCCTTGCTACCTTCTGCTACTTCAATTATTATTTCTTCATACTCCTTGCTCACAATCCAGGCTGCTGTCAACCACCACCCCGCCCCCTGCCCCCCCACCTCCCACAACTCCATCTCCACTCAGCCAGTGAGCCATTGTCTAGGTTCCTTCTGGCTGTCCCTGGATTGCCACCTACTCATGTTCTTTTCCCTCTCTAGCCTGAAGAAAAACTCTTGTTCCACAGCAGCTGATTCTCCCAGGAGATCTGGGTCTCTGGTGGGCAAATTGCTGCTCTCTTCCCCAGCAACTTTCTCCCTGGAGCACATGTGTGCCCGGGTGAATGGGTTTGACCAGGGCTGGTTCCAACCCAGCATCACGCTGTCTGGGGGATCACATCTCTTTCCAACATGCAGCCCTGAATCCCAGTCCCCTCTGCTTAGCTGCTTCTTCAACACACGATACTTCTCAGAAACTTCACTTCCAAATTATGGGGTGAGATTCAAGGTGGAATTCTTCATCTATGATGAAATTTTAAAATGGTATTCAAAGCTTTGTGCAAAATAGCATTTTATGGTATGCAAACCTCTAATTTTTATCAGACTCTCGAAGGGGTCCGCTGGAGACCATGGGCCTCTAAAGCTCTTTGAGTTCTAATGTTCTGTGACCCTGTGATTGCATAATACGATTTTGTGGCAAATTAGCCAAAAGCGGAAGCGTTCAGTCACTCTCCCAAACTG